AAGGCCCTAAAGGAGCGATAGCTGTTACTCTTCCCAGCCCCCCATCACCCCAGTGCTCTCTCTGGTTGACCCTGTCCCAGCCCAGAGCCCCCCAGGCCCTGCTCCATCCTACCCACTGCCTTCCCAGCTTCTGGACAGGCAAAGACAGTTGCATGCACAGTCAGAGGGTTGAGGGTTAGAGCAGGGCCCTTGCAGGCAGAACAGGGTCTGCAGTGTTGTGGGATGTGACGGAAGGGAAGGTGTGGGCAGGTGTCCCTGGGAGCATGGGGTCTATCAGTTCCTGGCAGCCAGCTAGGCTACTCAGGACCTGGGGGAGAGGGGAGGCCAGGTGGTTCTGGGGACCCTGAGCTCCATACACAGGGCTGGGAAGCCAGGAAGGGGGTTCCTGGCAAGAGCCCTGATGCCCCAGTCCTGGCCCTAAGGCTCCTCCCTTCCCATCAGCTCCCCCCAGCTAGGCCAAGGCAGTGAACCCAAGTGGTGGCCTTCTAGGGTCAGGTTTCCAGGGTAACCTGACCCTGAGTGCTCAGTTCCAGTAACCTGACTCTCAAATCCCTCCCCAGCTGGGCTGTTCTGGGGCTGTTCCGAAGCTTCTGCCTTTAGTTCCCAGGGAGGCGGTGGGGAGGAGCGGGCAAGCTGCTGCTGCTGCTGGGACCAGCTGTGGCTTTCCTCAGTCCCACTCCCTGGGCGCTGTCCCTCTCTGGGAGCCATCTCTGCTGCCAGGCAGCCCTCCCCTGGGCTGGCCCAGAGGTCCACATTCCAGGCCACTCCCCATGCCAGTCTTGGATCTGGCTGGGCGACCCAGGGCCTGGTCTGGCAGTTTCTTGCTTATGCAAGTGGGGGAGTTGGTTAGTGCCCGAGGTGAAGAATGGGCACCCTGTGCCCTGGCTCCCTCCTGTCTGCTGGGAGGAGACCAGGGAGGCTGGCTCTCCCCCAAGGGTGGGTGCAAAAGGGAAAGGCTGAGGGTGAGCCTTGGCCAGAAGCAAGGGGCTCGGCCTGAGACTGTTGCAGGTGGTCGCAGGGCATCCTCCAGGGCCAGAAGGCAGGTGCCAGCCTGTGCCCTGTTAATCGCTGTGTTCTGCCCACAGGCGACGTGGTGGACATCTACCAACGGGAGTTCTTGGCGTTGCGGGACCGTCTGCACGCAGCTGAGCAGGAGAGCCTTAAGCGCTCCAAGGAGCTCAACCTGGTGCTGGATGAGATCAAGAGGGCTGTGTCAGAGAGGCAGGCCCTGCGGGAGGGCGACAGTAACCACACCTGGGGCCGCCTGACAGGTGAGCTCCGGAGCAGTAGCAGGCTGGCTAGGGCTGGGCACTGCGCAGGTCCCAGGCTGTGCCATTTGACTTGTCCTATTCCGATCCTTCCTCCTGTAGAGGACCCCCGGCTGAAGCCCTGGAACATCTCGCACAGGCACGTGTTACACCTGCCTACTGTCTTCCACCACCTGCCGCACCTGCTGGCCAAGGAGAGCAGTCTGCAGCCAGCGGTGCGTGTGGGCCAGGGCCGCACCGGAGGTAGGGGTGTCCCTGGGGAGTGGCACGAGGCTGGTGGTGGGGCATGAGTGGGGACAGTGTCCAACATCACCATCTGCACCCCGCAGTGTCGGTGGTCATGGGCATCCCGAGCGTGCGACGCGAAGTGCACTCGTACCTCACCGACACGCTGCACTCGCTCATCTCGGAGCTGAGCCCACAGGAGAAGGAGGATTCGGTCATCGTGGTGCTGATCGCCGAGGTGAGTGATGCAGGCATGTGGTATGGGGGGGGCGGAAGACACTGGCGGGATCCAAGCCCAGCCTTCCCTGGGCTGCTGACAGGGAGCTCACATCCTCCATCTGTGGGGGCTTCTCCAGCCTGAGCCCCTTCCCCCATCCCTTCTTCTGGGTTACTTGGGTTGGCATCTGGGCTGAGGGAAGGTGCCTGCTATCTTCACAGACTGACCCTCAGTACACTTCAGCAGTGACAGAGAACATCAAGGCCTTGTGAGTCCCAGCAGCCCCAGACAGCTGTGGTGGGAGGGTTCAGGGAGGCAGCGCAGGGGGAGGGGTGTTGGGAGGGGTCTGCAGCCAATGGATTAGGTGGGATTTGAGGCCTCCAGCCCCTGGAGGTGACATGTCCCAGTCCAGCTGGCTTTCTGTTTCCACCACCCAGGTTCCCCACGGAGATCCACTCGGGACTCTTGGAAGTCATCTCCCCTTCCCCCCACTTCTACCCTGACTTCTCCCGCCTCCGCGAGTCCTTTGGAGACCCCAAGGAGAGAGTCAGGTACTGCCGCTGCCCTCCTAAGTGCCCTGCCCTCCTGTGCCTGGAGCCCATCCCTTGGGGCCTGAGTGTGGGGCACTGGCCTGCAGTAGTTCTGTGTCTCCATCCACCAGAGGCTCCTGGCAAGTGGGGAGGGAGTTGGGAGGGTAATTCAGGCACCTGGTGGTCTGTGGGTGGCAGTTGCACCAAGGTGTCAGTTCCTGAGACCCCATCTCTGGCCCCATAGGTGGAGGACCAAACAGAACCTCGACTACTGCTTCCTCATGATGTATGCACAGTCCAAGGGAGTCTACTACGTGCAGGTCAGTCCTGGGACCCTGGGTCGGAAGCCCTACCCCCGTGCCCACTGGTGCCCATCCTGAGTCTCCCTCACCATCTGCCTGGCCCCTGTGCAGCTGGAGGATGACATTGTAGCCAAGCCGAACTATCTGAGCACCATGAAGAACTTCGCCCTGCAGCAGCCCTCTGAGGATTGGATGATCCTGGAATTCTCCCAGCTGGGTTTCATTGGTGCGCCCTGCCATCCTCACCGTGCCAGCCTGGGCACTACCCTCTGCATGGGGAGCTTCCACACTGCCTGAAACACACCTGTGGGCATAGTCCTGGCACCTTCCTGGGCCTTGCACCCTGTGGGTCGGGAAGAAGCAGTGTAGGGTAGTGCTGCCGGCTCAGGATGGCTGGCTTTACCCCGGTCCTCCTGTCCCCACCCAGGGAAGATGTTCAAGTCACTGGACCTGAGCCTGATCGTGGAGTTCACGCTCATGTTCTACCGGGACAAGCCCATTGACTGGCTCCTGGACCATATTCTGTGGGTGAAGGTCTGCAACCCAGAGAAGGATGCGGTGAGCAGTGCCTTGCAGAAGAGGGGCTGAGCCACCATGGGCAGTGCACACCCACCCACCCGTGTCCTGTGTGCGGCCAGGCTGAGCCCAGCCCCGGGGCCTTCCTCTCCTTCGCAGAAGCACTGCGACCGGCAGAAGGCCAACCTGCGCATCCGCTTCAAGCCATCCCTCTTCCAGCACGTGGGCACACACTCCTCACTGGCCGGCAAGATCCAGAAACTGAAGGTAAATGTCAGCAGGCACGCTTGCCTGGCCAGGGAGTGGGGCAACAGGCAGAGCCAGGCCAGGGCTCCTGATCGGCCATCCACGGCTGCAGGACAAGGACTTTGGGAAGCAAGCGCTGCGGAAGGAGCACGTGAACCCGCCGGCTGAGGTGAGCACCAGCCTCAAGACATACCAGCACTTCACCCTGGAGAAGGCCTACCTGCGCGAGGACTTCTTCTGGGCCTTCACGCCAGCTGCTGGGGACTTCATCCGCTTCCGCTTCTTCCAGCCGCTGCGCCTGGAGCGGTCAGTGCGGGTACCCGCAGGTCCACCTTGGGGTGGGGAGAGGAGTGTGCCCCCCAGGAGATGATCTGGCTTGGCCATGTCTTAGTTTCCCTATGTGAGAAGGGCAGGTTCCTGTTGGGGCAGTGTCTACTGAGGACTAAGGTAGTGCTGGTGAATGCCCTGGCAGAAGTCTGCCGCCCTGTGGCGCGTGGGGCCGGGCTGCCTCACGGCAGCTCACAGGCCGGCCTGGCCGTAGGTTCTTCTTCCGCAGCGGGAACATCGAGCACCCAGAGGACAAGCTCTTCAACACTTCCGTGGAGGTGCTGCCCTTTGACGTGAGTGTGGTCGGGCTGTGGGTGTGCGTGGCAGCATGGCCCTCCTGTGACAGCCAACCTCAGGGCCTTGACACGGCTACCCCCACACCCCCAGAACCCCCAGTCCGACAAGGAGGCGCTGCAGGAGGGCCGCGTGGCCACTCTGCGCTACCCGCGGAGCCCTGATGGCTACCTGCAGATAGGTGAGTGCGGGACGGCAGGGTGGGGCCGGGCTCGCCCCCCCCTCCCCGCAGTGACTCAGTGCTGCTCTGTCAGGCTCCTTCTACAAGGGCGTGGCCGAGGGCGAGGTGGACCCGGCCTTCGGGCCTCTGGAAGCGCTGCGCCTCTCCATCCAGACCGACTCGCCTGTGTGGGTGATTCTGAGTGAGGTAGGCGCGGCCCAGGGCCAGGGTGGGGCTCGCTGCCTGCTAGCCACCTGACAGCCCCCCATGGCTCTTGCAGATCTTCCTGAAGAAGGCCGACTGAGCTGCAGGGCTTGGGATGGAGGGAGCCCCACAGCGGCCCGGGCAACCCTCGCTGCTGCCCCCGGAGGGTCAGGCGCGGATGCTCACTCAAGGCTGGGCTGGCCTGGGGTCCGCCGCTGGCCCGGAGGCCCCAGCAGCTGGTGCTGCCCCGTCCACCAGGCCGGGGGAGGCAGGGGGCCCCACACTGTGCCTGAGGGCCGGCCTAGCCGCCCAGACCGTCCGCCAGGCCGCGGCAGAAGCGCTTCCCCTCGGGCGCCCGGTCTCCGGCGCGAACACTGGAATGCATATACTACTTTATGTGCTGTGTTTTTTATTCTTGGATACATTTGATTTTTTCACGTAAGTCCACATATACTTCTATAAGAGCGTGACTTGTAATAAAGGGTCAATGAAGCACGTGCCTCCAATGTGAGTGCTCCCAGTGACCGCGCACCCCCCAGTGCCAAGCCGGGACCCTGACTCCCGGAGCCCTGGAGGGGCCTGGTGTCCTCACCGGGCGCCTCACCCTTGGGTCCCCAACACAGAGGAGTCCCCCTCCCGGCCACCCTGCAGAGCGGCGCAGGATGAGGAAGGAGCCCCTCTCCTTCGAGGCCCGCCCACGCCCCTCCAGGAAGCCCCGGGGAAAGCAGTTACGGGAACAGCCGTTGCAGAGACTTGAATCAGACGCCTGAGGCAGAGGCGGGGCACCCGCCCGCTCCTGGAGGCTCTCGGGTCTGTCGGTCTCAGGCCCAGGGCAGCAGCATCCTGAGCCGGCGGAGCAGCGCCGCGCTCAGCGGGGCAGGGAGGAAGTGCAGCAGCAGGCCGAGCGCCGCCAGCGCCACCAGCAGCCAGAGCGCGCCGGCGCTCTTATACAGCGGGGCCAGCCTGCAGCGAGCGCCGGACGGCCGGGCTCAGGCCAGCGGCCCTCAGGGAGCCCCGCCCCAAGCTCCGCCCCCACCTCCCCTCGGGGAGCCCCGCCCCCTCAGGGAGGCCGCCCCCACTCCCCTCAGGGAGCCCCGCCCCAAGCTCCGCCCCCACCTCCCCTCGGGTAGCCCCGCCCCGCCCCCTCAGGGAGCCCGCCCCGAGCTCCGCCCCCACCTCCCCTCGGGGAGCCCCGCCCCGCCCCCTCAGGGAGCCCGCCCCAAGCTCCGCCCCCACCTCCCCTCGGGGAGCCCCGCCCCGCCCCCTCAGGGAGCCCGCCCCGAGCTCCGCCCCCACTCCCCTTAGGAAATCCCTCCCCCTCCCCGCCCCATCCCGCCCCGCCCCCTTAGGGAGCCCCGCCCCGCCTCACCTGAGCTGAGCTGCGCGCGCGTAGCCCTGGAAGTAGCGCAGGCGCGCGAACAGGTAGACCAGGCCGCAGGCGGCGGCGGCGCCTACGGGAGCGGGGCGCGGTGAGCGCATGTGCGAGTGGCCGAGCACCCCCCTACACCCCGCGCGCCCCTTCCCCCCGCGCCCACCTTCGTGGAAATAGATGCCGGCGACCCAGAGAGCGGCGAGGAATAGCGGGAAGTACTCGCTGCAGTTCACCCTGCGGGCGGCGGGCCGGATGATGCGTTGCTGGGCTGGCACAGGACCCAGGCGCACCCGGGGCGACCCTGTCCATCCCGCTGCCCCCCACCCCTGCTGCCTCACTGGGCTCGGTAGACACGTTCGAAGCCGGGCGGGCCGGTGGTGAGCGGCGGTGACACGCGGAAGGCCCTGCGCGCAGAAATGACCTGCAGGGAAAAGTAGGCTGTGGGCAGCGCGGGGGAGGGGGTCGTGAGGCGTGGGTGGGAACCTGGGTCTTCGCGGGGCTCTGCGCTCCTCCTTCCTCGTGCTCGGGCCTATCCTGTGATGCCCGGTGGGGAGGGCACAGGAACACCTGCCTGGGCTCCAAGAGTCGTTTGACTTGCAAAGCAGGCAGTGTGTCTAATTTTCCTAAGGGGTCCCCTGAACAGGAAGTGCCCTGACCAGGGTGTCCCTGGAGGTCTCAGGAGGTCTCTCACATCTTGCTTCAGTGATTCTGACAATGGCTGCAAGCTGAGACCCCACCATCCTCCCAGTCCACTGTGGGTAGCTGGCCCCTAAGGGATCTCAGTAAGAAGGACCTTGGCCCCAGGGGTGGGTGCCTTCCTGGGAGACCTTTAGGCCAGGCTTTTGCAGAGCCAGCCCTGGTGCCTGCCATGCCAACTCAGTGCAGGCCTGGGACCAACATGCGGGTGCAGCCAGAGACCAAGCAAGGCCGTTCCTGGGTGCACCCCCCCGGGATGCCTTATCCTAGCCCACACAGGGCCAGCAGCCTGCCTTCTGGAGCCAGTCTGAGATAAGCATGAAGCGGGCACATGTGGGGGTGAGGCAGGTTGGGGAGCAGAGAAGTCCTGCCAGGCCACAGGACGGGGGCCTGCTGCTTGAGACCACTGAGGAGGTTAGCTGTGCCCCAGGCACGTGGTGGCCCCACTCCTCTTATCTTTCTAGTTCCTTGCTCCCACAGCTCAACAGACAAGGAGGCTTCCTTCCTCTGCTCTGTGGACCACCAGCTTGCACATGGTCCCCTAGGTCAGGCACTCCTGTTGGCTGTGTTTCTGACCCTGGATTCCTCAGCTCACCTCCCACCCCTCTGCAGCCTGGGGTGACAAACACCCCACCTCCAGCTGGCACTCAGGCCAGGTGTCTGAGCCACCTCCCCCCCACACAGGAGAGTGCCCACCTTGTAGCAGGACTCCTAGGAGGGTGACAGTGGCCAGGAGAGCCACCTCGTCCTTCATGGTGCCGGAGACAGGGCCAGCCATGGAGCTGTTATCAACACATCTAGTGTACAGAGGAAGGGCGGCCCCAGTGCCTCCCCGCCCTTCTCCACCAAGGAGGAGGGGGCATGTGATCTGGCCCACAGAGCCAGGGATCCCAGCTAGGCTGGTAGCCAGAAACCAGACTGGGACAGCCTTCCCACTTCCTCCCACTTGTTGTAGTCTCTATGCCTAGACCTGACCTTGGTAGAGCCAGTGCCATCCACCTTTGCCCATTCCTACTTGGGGGATTGCCTAGCTGCAGTGTCTCCCTGGCCCTTCACAGTTCATCCTGGCTCCAGTCCCAGGCATGGGCTCCCTACCCCTGGCCTATGCACACTCCTCACCTGTCTCTCTGCCCTTCGTTTGCAAGGCTGTTCAGTAACACTGGACTTGAACTGCAGAGCCCTCGCCCCCAACCCCAGGCCCCCAGAGCCCCAGGTCTCCGGTCCCGTAGCCTAACTTGTGAGCCGAGACTAACTCAAGACAGGGAGCCACAGCAGCTCTGAGGGCTGTGCAGCCCACCCGAGTGTACCTCTCCTGCATGCGCCCAGGGCCGTTCAACCACTTCCCCTCCTGGTCACAGCTGACTTGACGTGAGTTTTGGTCAGAAGTGGCAAGGGCCACAGGCAAGCAGCAGGAAGGAAGTGTGGGGACTGCCCAGGGCAGTGGAGACACCCTGAGTCCATCTGCCTGATCAGTCCTGTGGCCCCTGAGCTCCTTCCAGCTTCCCTAATCAGCCTCCTTCCCTGTGACCCCCACAGCTAAGAGTGCAGCACTGCGACCTGGTGCCTGCTGTAGTGCTGCCTGCGTCTCGCAGCCTGCACATGCACTGCCCATCAGCACCCCAGGAAGCCAGATGCTCCCAGTCTGGGGCTATGGGGACTTCTCACGGGCCGGAGTGGTCCCCACACCTGTCCCTGGCACCAACCAAGCTCTGGCAGGAGCAATCATGGAGTGAGAGCCAGACACTGAGCTGCCCTGACCACAGGCCTTGTTTTGGTTTCTGCTCATGTCCTGGTGCGGTGTTTCCTGTTTGTCTGCCCGTTGCCTGACTGATAATGGCCATGTGTCTCTCCCTGCTAGTATGGTCTTGGCATTCCTTCAAAGCCCATGTGTATGCACATATCAGTGTAGGCCCTCATTTCCTCTTAGGCCAGGAAATCCTCCCATCCGAGTTTGTTTTCTTGTCCCTAACTGCAGGAAGCTTCAAAGGAAGTTCCTGGCCAGAGAAGGGAGCTGGTCTCAGCCTCTGGAGCCTTTCTCCAGAATTTTGGTGCTTGGCACTTGCCCAGGGCCTTGGGGTCCCACCCTGGAGGCATCAGTGTCACCAGAGACATGAATGCTCTCCCCAAGCTCTCTGTGTCTCCAGCCTCTTTGTAGCCCTGTGGAACCTTCTGGATGCCCAGGACCTCCAGGAGGAAGAAACACCAGCAAGTAGGTGCAATGGGTCGGCAGCAGGGACACACAGCACAAACTATGCACTTGACACAGAACAATACTGACTTAAACTTTTTTTAAAAAAAGATTTATTTATTTATTAAAGATTCATTATTTTTTATTGCAAAGTCAGATATACAGAGAGGAGAGACAGAGAGGAAGATCTTCTGTCTGATGATTCACTCTCCAAGTGACTGCAATGGCCAGTTCCGCACTGATCCGAAGCCAGGAGCCAGGAACCTCCTCCAGGTCTCCTACCTGGGTGCAGGGTCCCAAGGCTTTGGGCCATCCCTTCATGTAGTTTCTGTTAGCATCTAACTACCAACAATGTAAACCCAGAATTTAACATTAATATAAGACTGTTGCGGTGCAGCAGGTTTAGTCACCTATGACTGGCTGGTTTTACTGCCAATCCAGCTGCTTGCTAAGGCACCTGGAAAAGCAGCGGAGGATGGGCAAGTACCCAGCACAGAAGTGTGAGACCTTGATGGAGTTCCAGGTTCCAGTCTTTGGCCTGACCAGCTACAGCCACCGTGACCATCTGGATGGGAGACTTTCTCCCTGTGTATCTTCCTTTCTGTTGGCCTTTCAAATAAATAGCTAGATCTTTCTGGGGTTTCCTGGTAGTTTAAAACAAATTTTTTTTTTTTTAAGATTTGTTTTTATTGGAAAGGCAGATTTATGGAGAAAAGGAGATACAAAGTTCCTCCATGCACTGGTTCACTCCCCACTGGCCACAATGGCTGGGGCCAAGCCAATCCAAAGCCAGTAGCCAGGAACTTAGTTTTGTTTTTGTTTTTTAAGATTTATTCATTTTTTAATTGGAAAGGTAGATATACAGAGAGGAGGAAAGACAGAGAGAGATCTTCCATCCGATGATTCACTCCTCAAGTGGCTGCAACAGTTGGAGCTGAGCCAATCCAAAACCAGGAGCCAGAAGCTTCTTCCAGGTCTCCTATGTGGGTGCAGGGTCCCAAGGCTTTGGGCCATCCCCAACTGCTTTCCCAGGCCACAGGCAGGGAGCTGGATGGGAAGCGGGGCTGCCGGGACATGAACTGGTGCCCATATGGGATCTTGGCATGTTTTAGGAGAGAACTTTAGGTGCTACTCTATTGTGCTTGGTGCCCCCCTTCCCCCCCCCTTTTTTTTTTAATGATGATTATATAGTTGAATAGGGTGGGAAGAGTCAAGGGTTAGAAGAATGTGGGTGAGACCATTGTTTCCACAATTTCTTTTTTTGTCACCCTGTATCTGGGGGGATAGGTGGAGATAAGGGGAGAAGCCACACCCAGCCTCCCAACTGCCTCTGGTACCTGGAGATGTGGTATAGTCACCTGATGTCATCCCAGGGTCCCTGATGTGGGACATGCTCCAAGGGTCCTGCTCAAGAGGTTTTAATAGTTCAAATTGCTGTTGATTTTGCTGCTCCAATCACGATGAAATTCCTCCACAGTCTACTAGCTGACATAGTCCACCTTAGAGTCTCTTTACCCAAATATTCACTGCCAACACTTGGCTGGGGTAGTTGGTCAATTTGTTCTGCCCTCTGTTAATGGTACCACATGTCTTCTGCAGGCTCCAGTGGACTGCCATATCATCCATAGCCATCTGGTATGCCATCCACTGTTTGAGCCAATGAGGAGGCCCAGTTCTGACACATGTACTCCATGATCAGACTATGCAACCTGCAATTCTCCCTATGTTTGGAGTTCTGAGTTCAGCAGTTTAGTTGAGGTGATTCCCAAAGAAACCTCATCTGCGATAATCCCAGACCTGATTCTTGTGCGTGTTTGCCAATACTGGCTCTGTCACCCACATCAGCCTAACCCCAAGTGATGGGTTGTCCCTTCTCCAGCCCCATCTCCTATCCTAGGGTAATAGGTGCTTCAGCCCAGCTCAATCCTGCCCACCACACACTTGGCTCTCATGTACGCCAGCGGGAGTAGTGGCCTAGTGGGAATAACCCCTAATGATCCCCACCCCGGGCCCCGCCATCCTTGGTTCCTGTGCTTACCAGTATGAACAGCAGACTGGTCTAACCTGTCGCACATCTCATTTAATTCTTGTACATGCCAATGGGCATTGATGCCTAGCTCAACCAGCCACACTACCCAGCCTACACTGTGCCTACAGGTGCCACTCTCTGTCTAGCCATGCCTGCTCCAACCCTGGTTTTCATATTCACCAGTGGGAGTTAAACCCCTCAGAGAGGTGCCCATAATTTCCCTACTGGGCCCACCCAGGCCTTGGATCTTGTACTTTACAGGTGGTTCTGCAGCTTAACAGGATTTGCCCCCAGTCCCAGCACTTGCCAGATGGTGCTACGGCAAAACCCAGCCAGCCTGTATGTACTCTGGCTTATGAATGCTGCAGTGGGTACAGTTGGTTAGCCCAACCTGGGAGCCAGGAACTTCTTCCTGGTTTTACACATGCGTGCAGGGTCCCAATGACTTGAACCATTCTCCATAGCTTTTCCAAGCCATACAGAGGGAGCTGGTTGGCAAGTGGAACAGCCAGGACACAAACGGGCACCTATATGGAATGTTGAGCTTGGAGGTGGAAGGTTAGCCAGTCAAGCCACTGCACTAGACCCCAGAGTCCTGACTTCTAATTTGTGATTCTAAGCTTCCTACCTGTCTTTCCATTCCATTCCCTGAGGTTTCTGACCTCTAAAGGGTTGCTGAAGGATATAAATCTCGCCTTCTGTAGCTACTCCATGCTGATTAGGGGTATAGGCCTTGCACATCCTGGTTTCGGAAATCTCTCGTTTTTCTTCAAATGGATCCATCTCGTGAGCCATATAAATTCTAGCCAGTGCCAGTGGCTGAGTCCTCCACATCCTCACCACCACTCCAAGAAGTCCTTTTGGTTCCCAGCAGCAGACCAACTTAATTTATGTCCACCTGGGCATGATCCTCTCCCAAGCCCAGGAGTCAGCATATAAGAATGGCACTTTATACACTACGTGCTCTGATGCCAGGATGTACATTGCTTGGCTCTGGTGCCTGAGATTAGAGATCCTGTTGCATCTGAGGCCAACTGGACGTGAAAGCTCAGGTTTCTTGGTGACAACAACGGCCATTAGTGAGGATCTCCCAGGACCCCAGCCTTAGGCCCTTGGTTACCACGGAGGCACACATGGGTTCAACTGCCTAGGACCTGTTAAAATGCAGTACCATGAAGCCAGGCTGCAGATCTTCCAGGTGTCACCAGATATCCAGTCAAATAGGGCAACAGCCTTGAAAACACTGTGCTGATTGCACCCAATGCAAAAAAGACCCACCTGGGCCTGGTGCGATGGTGTAGTGGTTAAGGTCCTCGCCTTGCACACCTGAGATCCCATATGGGCGCTGGTTCTAATCCCGGCAGTCCCACTTCCCATCCAGCTCCCTACCTGTGGCCCGGGAAAGCAGCCAAGGACGGCCCAAAGCTTTGGGACCCTACATCCGCTTCGGAAGAGGCTCCTGGCTTCGGATTGGCTCAGCTGCAGCCGTTGCGGCCGCTTGGGGAGTGAATCATCGGACGAAAGATCTTCCTCTCTGTCTTTCTCCTCTGTGTATATCAGCCTTTCCAATAAAAATAAAATAAATC